AGTTAAGACTCTCACACTGAGCTGAAATGAAGTGAGTGCACATAAATTAACTACATAACATGTTAGGGATGTATTTAAGCTCTTATTACTGTACTGCTATACTGTAATATCACACTGAAACTACGTTAACTGTGTGTTCATAGTAAAGGCGCAAACATACTCGGGCGCAATGTACGCGGAGCGGACTCCATGGAGGTCCGCCTGGACTAAAAGCGGACGTCTGCAAGCCCTGTGCGCACAAAGCTCAGATTTTACGACCGTGAGGACTCCGCTCCGCGCACCAGTGTCACACAAAAGACTGCTTGGCATGTATTTTTCACATTGACCTCCAATAAATGTGGGACGCCATGACAGAAGAGTGTAAACAACGCACAAGACTATGGAAGCCCGAATGACTGCGGACATTCCTCGCAGAGTCCGCTCCGCTTATAGTACGCCCGAGTCTGTGAGCACCTTAATTCAGCACAAGCTAGCTAGGCTAGTTAGCAAGGCTAATTTCCGTACCAGCTAACTACTGAAACAACTGTTTACTGACATTACAGCGGTATAGTAAATACACTTTAGATTAACTAGAAAGGGTAGGTGAAACACTGATGTTGGTGATTTGCCAGCTTATAAAATTATGTGAATCATTTGGCTAAACATTAGCCTAAATGCCAAGCTAGCCAAATAGGTGGGTATGGGGCAAAGTGAGCCAATCACTGTGGGGTAAATTGAGCCAGTGGTTGAACTTGACCTTCCTTAAGGCACTGAAGTTAAGTCTCTGAAGTATGAAATGGTATTTTAATGTAGTATTACACAACTGGTTTGGTTTATCACATGTTAAATATTGTAGATTTGTTATAACATTTAACATAACGTTAGTATTTATTGGAATTTTCTTTTTTTCTTTCTTACTTTTTTTCTTTGCTCCTCAAAACTACACTGGTTGTCCTTTTAATTTGGATGAGTACCCTCATTTAACAGAAATGTTTAAAATTGTTTCACCAGTGGCAAAAATTAAAATATTCTAAATATTAAACTTTATTTCGTTGGTTTCATGTTGTTTAAGTTAGCTTTCAGGAAACAGGCAGAAATAAGACTATTTGGAAAATTAATCGATTACTTTTTTAAAAGAGGTAAATTATTATATATAAATTATGTTCATGTGTCAACTTAAAAAGTCAGACGGTCAATTTACCCCCACATGGCTCAACTTACCCACTGACTCAGATCAGCTTACCTCTAACCTGGGAGCCACAAGAACCCTTTTTTAAAGTCATATTTTCAGGGCCCTTTGTTATAGATGGATTCTTATAATTTCAATGATAGGAGACATCCTGAAATAAGGGTAGATGTTTTCAGTGTAGTTCTGTCTCATTTTTCCTTGCCTACAGGACGCCATAAGTAAAACTTGGCTGTGTAGCTGCAGATGTGAAGATTAGGCTCTGTTTCATAGGTTAGTTAGAGCATAGTTTAGTTGATTATATACTCTAACACAGCTGTTGAGTCTAGAATGTTAAGGTTATTGACGTTACAGATGAATTTGATGTGACAAATGTACATTGATTCTAAAATGTTCAGGTTACACATAATTGCATTTTACATTTTGTATGTTTTATGCTATGCTGTACAAATGATATGTACAGTAGTAAGCAAAGGATCATATTCAGCTTCTCATGAGCAAATCAATTGATCGCGAACGAATTGTTCAAAAGAACAAATCTGTTGAGTGAACGTACTGAAGTGAATCACTTCCGGAACTGATTCGTTCATTTCTCAGTTCAGTTGAGCTCAGCAGCTAGCATGCAGGCCGGGATTGGATTTGCTGATTCTGTCTGTGTGTACGTTGAATCACTTGCGAGTCACGAGGCAGCCAGGGTGCAGGGAGGGACTGCTTACCGCATGACGAATCACTCGGTGAACAAATCACTCAGTGAACGATGTAACCTCGATTCCTGAGTGATTCAAATCATTTCTTCTCAGTGATACACTTTCATAGGGACTGTTTTCTCCAAGCTAACGGTGAATGTAGCCAGGAGTCAAGCCACATGAACACAATCACACACCTCCCCATTGTTTTAACAGACTTAGTTTCCAGATAAACAAACTTAAAATGTTAGGTTGGCCAGTAATGAGACTCACCAGTGCAGGGCAGACGCAGCAGCAGCAGCAACGGAGAGAGACTGAGTCGGACTACGTGGTACACAGTCAGGGCTCCTCCTGCCAAGCACTGAACAATTCAGTGAACAAATCTTTTGAACAAATCTTTTGAACGACTCTTTTTAATGAACTTATTCTAGTGATTCAGTAACATCTAAAGAACTGCTTTGCCCATCACTAGTACATTTCTAATAAACGTTTTGCTGGAATAATGTTGTGTTTATGCAAATTTGTAGGCTACATAACTTTAAAAAATATTCTGAGTAAATGGCATAAAGAGATATAAAAAGGATTTCTGATGTATAGATTAGAATTTTCCATAGTTAAAAACCTATAATTTGACACCAGAATCATTGAAATTGGCCCAGAAAATGAAGTTCTGTCGTAAAAGATGGTTGAAATGGTGGCCGTCTTTAAAAATGGCGGCCATTTTGAAATTTACGTGGCTAATGGGATTCTTCAAAAGAATGACCCAAGAGGTACACTCAGTCAAATTTTGGTGCTTCTTTCCAGATTTGAAAGACTTTTTTGCTTATCTGCTCAGCTACAGGTGACCTTGCAGCTGCACCTTGGTCTAACATCATGCAGGCGGACTTCCATCGCGTCTGGTTCCTTGTGCAAGCAGTCTATGATACCCTGCCAAGCCCAGCAAACCTCCATGTCTGGGGAAAGTGAGACACCTTCCTGCCTCCTTTGCTCCGGAAGAGGCTCCTTATAACACCTCCTCATTAGCTGCCCAAAGACCCTGCCTGATGGCCGCTATCATTGGCGCCATGACCAGGTGCTCAAAGCAGTTGCTGAGAGCGTAGCCTTAGCCATCAGCGCCAGCAAACACCATCATGCTCCGAAGACGGCAATCCCCTTCATCAAAGCTGGAGAGAAACCTCGAGTGCATCCACAACAACATCCATCCGGCCAGACATGATCATCACCTCTGAGGCTTCAAAACATCTGATCATGCTGGAACTCACTGTGCCCTGGGAAGAGCGGATTAAGGAAGCCAATGAGAGGAAACACACAAAGTACCAGGAACTGGTGGAAGAGTGCAGGGGCAGGGGCTGGAGGACTTTCTACGAGCCCATAGAAGTTGGCTGTAGAGGCTTCACAGGACGCTCACTCTGCAAAGTCCTTTGCCGATTGGGCGTCACAGAGGCAGCTAAGAAGAGGGCCATCCAACCTGCAAGTGAAGCCACAGAGAAAGCCACAAGGTGGCTTTGGATTAAGGGGGCTGACCTGTGGCTTGCTGCTGGGACACAAGTCGGGGCCTGATCGCCCCCAGCTGGGTCGCCTGGATGAGGGTGTCTGATGTTGCAAGACCCGAAACACCCAATGACCCCAGGATACATCACTGAGGATGCGTCCCAGTGCATCCAGGAGATGTTTCTTGCATAGTCATACAAGAGGGCTAAGCAGCTCACCTCAATACCAGAGTTGCGTCACTTGGTGTAGTCAGCAGAATGTCCCCAAGGAAGTGATCTTGATGAGGCAACAAGTGGGCAATTTGCTGTAATTGCAGTCACAGTTTCTTCAATCATTTTTCTTTCAAGGATATCTGATTTAAATTAGAAAATGGGAGCATGTGAGCATTTTTGGCATCTGGGTTGTTGCTGATACATCTGTTTCCACTACCGCTGGAGTGATTGATCAATCAATCAATTTTATTTATAAAGCCCAATATATCACAAATAACAATTTGATAACAACAGCATACGACATCCCTCTGTCCTTTGGACCCCTGCAGCAGATAAGGAAAAACTCCCCCAAAAAATACCCTCAATCACCATACCTTCAAAGTATTACTAAGTCATGAAAGGTGTGTAATGAAAGTGTCTGATCTTAAATTTCGTTTGATATTCAAAGCTCATATAATATGTCAGATGACAGTTTGTACTTTATACCTTCATTTACAATGATTTGGCTGCAAGGTTAAAAAGTTACAAAAATTTTATTTATTTATTTTTGAAAATTGTTTCTTGGGTTTCTTTTGTAATTCTATCATTTTAACATTTTTTTAGTGTAGGTAGCCTGACACTTTAGGGAGTGAAACTAATACTACTCAAATAGTACAAAATGTAACTCAGAGCACTGCTTTTGTCTAATCCCATAGTGTTGATTTCACTCTGTTTTGTGAGTTAAAGAAGCGACACTGGCATAGTATTAAATGTTAGCTATTTTGAAAGTTGATTTGTCTCTGGACAGTGTGGAGCTATATAAACCCTGAAAAGGGGTTTGATTTTATGGCTTTTGCTTGTAATAGAGTATTGTATGTATTGGTACTTTTACCAATAAATATCTGAGTATTTCTTTCACCATGGTGTAACAGTAATCAGTTCACAGTTTTATACACTTTTCAAAGTCTTAATACCTCTTTGTGCTACTTCAGTGCTGTCTGTTACAGTATGTTGTTTTAAATAATTAACGTTTAAAATAATACTTATAAATAACACATACAAATTCCTTGCAATATCATATATATTTTCCTACACTGAGAAAATTACAATGAAAAGAAGAAAATTAAAACATATATGCTATTTACGATTGTAGTGATCTACCTCAATCTGTAATTCTTGACTTGTCCCTTAAATTCTCTGATAAATGTATTTAAATTTATAGAAATCCTGTATATGTCACAGCATCACATGTTTATTCAGTGTGTCCTTGTCTCTAGATGCATACACTGAATTAAATAGTCAAACTCAACTGGAACCAAACCTTCAAACTGTGAAGATGTTGATGTGATAATGTCGTTGTCGGATTGTTACAAAAAACTGCTCTCAGTGATTTCGGGATTATTCAGGTTGGATTGGATTATAGTTGTTACATAAAGCAGCTGCACAGGATTGGTGGCCTGAGCCGAGCATGCGCAGAGTGTCGCCCCTAACAACATAACGAACCATAAGCGTGTTTACGGAGTTAAAGTTAAACAGTGAAGGTTTGAAAGGAAAGGAAAGGCTTCGTGCAAAGAGTAGAGGTGAGTTGTGTGTGTCTTCTCTGCTTGTCGCGGCTCGGCTGCGTGTGTGTGTGTGTGTGTGTGTGTGTGTGCGTGCGTGTGTGTGTGCGTGTGTGCGTGAGTGTGTGTAACTCTAGGCTTGTTCTCTTATGGAATTAAGATGCATAAACGAGGACGGCCACGGCATTTGCCGGTGTGGAAAGCAGGCAGGCATTAAATCTAGTCTATCGCGAGTACATGCAGTGCTCGCAGTCTCATCGTGTTCACAGTCAACACTGGCAGTCACTGCTTCCATAGCGATGGAGTGATGGAGTTTTTATCGGGAACAAAATGTTCTGAATCCAAACCTCCTATCCTAACATGAAGCTGCAGCCTGATACCATCCTTCGTTACTTCGAAAGGCACACAATGCTGCCTATACCATTTGTTTCAATACAACTTCTTTGTTTCTCAGGTAGCCTATTTCTCAGCCAGGCTGCCAGCTTAAATTAGTTGTGTACATTGTGTGTACATTTTATTAGTGTGGTTTTGAACACACACACTAAGAGCTCTTTTTTCTTTTTTCTTTTTTTTAAATCAGTGGCGTAATTTTATTTCATTTGTTTTTACTTAGTAAATATGGAATAGATTTAATAGATCAGACGGCCAGTAATGAATTTGCATGTGTGAAATCTGTTGGCAAGTTTACTGTCCTTTTTGCTGCTGCCAGTGGGACACAATCTTCAACACTTTCAGCATGCCTGCCAGAGAGCACCCCCCCCCCCCCCCCCCCCACACACACACACACACACACACACACACACACACACACACACATCCCATTCACTACTACTGACTTTGGAACTCTTTGTTCCCTTTACTTTGCGCCATTTCAGACAGCCTGGCTATGCTTTGACTCTGTTTCATTGACGGTCTGTAAAGCAATGAATTAAAAAGTGCAGCATTTGCCTACTTGCTGCGTTCATTCAAGCTTGGTAGTCATGAGTTGAGTTCATGATCTTCTTTTTCACCCACCTCCATGAAAAGTCAGCTTTGAACATTTACAGTGCGCGTGTTAACTGAAAGAAGTCATTTAGTATAGCCTAATTTCACATTGGAACATCATGTACCAGAAGTCTTTTCATCCGTCTCTGTGTGTCCAAACGACTCAGAACCTTTCAAAATATCCACCTTTATTTTCTCATAGCAACTTACACAAATACTTCTGAGTAAGTTCCCAGTAGAACGTATCAGTAGGTTGCAGCCAGGATATTAAGACCAAAAGGTTTTTTAGATGCAAATATTCTGGCCGTACTATTGTTGTCTGTGAGATCAGTATGTTATATGAACATTATTCCTTAGTCTCTGTGACATATTAGGAGGATTTTACGACTATTTGCTTTAGATTTCTTACATATAGCTCCTTTAAGGTCAAACTGGTCTGCTAATAAATCCTCTCTCTAAACATAGTGGAAATGCCAGATGTAAAACTACACAAAAAGTTGAAGGTCCAGTGTGGAGGATTTAGGGGCATCTAGTGGTAGAATTGATGTATAATATATATAAGCATGTTTCATTAGAGTATAGTCATCTGAAAGGGAAGGGAAGGGAAGGAGGGGGTTGGCAGGTTAACAAGGGGACCCTTTCTGGTCATTTTGCTAACAAAGGGGCAAGTGTCTCTCATCCCTGCTCAAATCACCTTCTGGTGATATCACATAAGTTAATGCCTCAACCTCCCCCCTCTTTCCAAGCACAGTGTCACCCCCTGTTAGTCAAGAGGAAACCCATCCCTTTATATTTGATATGTTAAGTGAAGAAAAGAGTATTGACGTTGAAGTTTTTATCTACACATGCAGACACACACTTCTTTTAAATTCAGTGATGTCTCTGAGCAATGGGGGGCGTGAGCAAGTAACAAAACGTGTAGCTCAGTGTGTGACGTAAACAGTGACGTACTCCGAGGAAAGCCGCGGCTGGTCAGACCTTCGGCGATTCTCTCATAATTTGGCCCGTCCTTCACCACCCCTGTCACTTGGCGGTTAATGGCCTCTTCATTTGCGAGGGCAATGAGGGCACGCATTTCTTTTTCTCCCCAGTTGCTCATCTTTACTGTAGTGTCTGTCAGGTTTGTGTGTCCTTCTTGCTACTAGTACTAGCTGCTCATTCCTGCTATCAGCTGTTTCCTGTTAGTCCACTGCCAGTGGGTTGTCGTTGCGGCGTCATCAACAGTTCCTCCCAAAAGTCATCGACAGCCCCTCCCGTGGGGGACGAGGCTCCCTTTTTATAGAACGAGGCTCCCTTTTTAAACCAGAAAGGTTTCGCCAATATGACTACCCTACGAAGTGGGAAATTGAGCACATCGGATCAACTTGCCAGTCCGGCTCTGTGTGTCTAAACGCTTGCAGCTTGCTGGCAAAATGGCCCAACATCTGGTAGTGTAAAAGGGGCTTGTGTCTCAACAGGGCTTGAAATTAACTTTTTTACATGGTAGACTTCAAAAACTTAGGAGCACCAGCAAAATTTTGGGAGCACCCACCGTAATGTAAGAAGCACCAACAGTGTAATCATTTTTTTTTATTGCAACAAAAAGTCGACATTATACTGTATACATTACATTGTATATGTATAGTACACTTATCATTAACAACTTTTTCAATCAATCAATCAATCAATCAATTTTATTTATAAAGCCCAATATCACAAATCACAATTTGCCTCACAGGGCTTTACAGCATACAACATCCCTCTGTCCTTTGGACCCTCACAGCGGATAAGGAAAAACTCCCCCAAAAAAACCCTTTTCAGTTGAAGATATTTTTAGAAAAAACACCACTGAACCACTGAACACCACTGTGAATGAAAGAGAAACCTTAGATGATGATAATACTGATGATGATGACAGTCTTCATCATCAGTATTATCATCATCTAAGGTTTCTCTTTCATTCACAGTGGTATTATCAGTATTATCAGTATTATCATCATCTAAGGTTTCTCTATCATCATCTGAGGTTTCTCTTTCATTCACAGTGGTGTTCAGTGGTAGCCTGGCGTTGCCAAACCCAATTCGCAAAACGTGAATGGGTCTGGACACGGAGTGTACATTTCCTCTATTCCCGAGGGGCAGTATCAACGGCTATCACTCAAAGTGCCCCTTCACACAATTGGAAAGACGGAAAACCAATCAGAGTAAACGAAACGTGACGTAGGCTAGCACAACGCCACTGTAAACAGACCAGCAAGCTGCAGCAGAGATGAGCTGTGACAATGTCTGGGAAAGAGTGTTGCCGTCTTTGTGGATTTCCTCCTCACTGTAGACTCCGAGTTGCATGGCTGTGATTCCCAGCTTGGTCGCTTCCCTGACCTGCTCCTCCATGAGAGCAACTAGCGGAGAAACAACAATAGCCACTAAAAAAGTGTTCAGCGTTCTCTTCATTTTCTCTTCTAAAATCATTATCATCATTAAAGGTCAAGCTCACGTTTGATTGGTCACTGTCAGCTCACTAGGTAGAGAGAAGCCTGGGAACTTTATCAATGTAGCCTACCAACTTGAGGGGGGAAAAAAAAACTTGTGAATGAGACATTCGACTCGGGGGAAAAATAGTTGCACCAGAAGAATTATTTACACTCGCACCAGTGCTCCCAATTATATTTTGAGGTCGCACAGATTAAATTTTGGTCCTATACACGACCAAAACAGCCCCAATTTTGAGCCCTGCTAAATGAGTTTCTAACCTCAGAGTAGTTGAAAGAGACGTGTGTGGGGTGAATGCCACAAATTATCTTAACTCACTTGTATGTGTCATATGAACACCAATTTGTTGGCACCAGTGGTTCTATCATGCAGTGCAATGTCTCATTTTTTGCTTACCTGTGTCTACAACTGACATAGATGCACATTGTGGATGCAGAAATAAAAAAAATGACTTTTGTGTCAGGTTAGTCTAATGAAGCATTTATGTCCTGTTAGAGAAATGGGAAGAACAGGAAAACCTCATTAAGCATTATTCCAAGATAGTTTTGTAGTCACAAGACATAAACGGAAATAAAGCCTTACTGACCTCTTTTTCGTTATAGTGATTAAAAATGGTGAATAGCTCCTTTGTAATAAGATAAGATACACCTTCATTGATCCCACAATTGAGAAATTCCAGTGTTACAGCAGTCAAGGAGAGAGAGTTAGATTAAAAATTTCAAAATTTAAACTTAAAAAACTTAAAAAAATACAAGAAACGGCGATAAATAATAATAATAATACTAATAATAATAATAATAATAATAATAATAATAATGAGAAGTGGATAATAATGAGCAGTGGATTAAAGAGAGCACATCTAGTGCAAGTAATGAAGTAATGAAGTAATGAAAATGTTAGTGTTAGTATTAGATTTTATTATTATTGTTGCTGCCGGTGAGATGCTCAGTGACAGTGAGTGCATGTGTGTGTATGTCAGTGGGAGACATGAGTGAGAGTCCATCTGCCCGCTCCATTCTTAAGAACACAATATCTTAAGAATGCCTTGAGGGAATTTTCTCAAATTTGGCCCAAACATCCATCCTTGACCTGAAATGATCAACTGATTAGAATATAATGGTCCAAGGTCAAGGTCACTGCGACCTCATAATGTTCTGCAAAAACACTTTTCTGGCCATAACTCAGTGAGAAGGAGAGGCATTTGGTCAGATACTGAATTTGATACATTAATTCTGGGTGCCTACCTTGTTTTAAATGTCCTTTAATATTGAAATGCCTTGCCTGTTTTATGTCCATTATGTCTATTTTCATGGGAAGCACCCAGTGCTTATCCTGTATATTGTAAAGTCCTTTGTGCTGCATTTCTTGTATGAAAGGTGCTATATAAATAAAGTTTAAAATTATTAGTATTATTATCACAGTATAAATCTGGAAACCATGCAGAGACCACCAATCAGCTGTGTAAATAACGCCTTTGCCTAGTTTGAGCTGTTTCACAAGGATTAGCCCGATGGAGGTTCTGTCAATATCTAAAGCCTGTGTAATTGCATAGCAAAGTCCATTCCGTA